CACTGCTGGATTCTGGACCAATTGGAACTTCCAGATGCTCTTCAAGGGCAGCCCCATGTAGAGTGCATTGCAGTGGTCCACTTGGGAGGTGTCCAAAGCACAAGTGATCAGGCGCAGTGCCTCCTTTCCTGGTTCAATATGAAGTTGTGCAAAAGCCTCCTTGGCCACAGCTACCACCTGTTTCTTGAGCTATGAGTCCAGGAGGACCCCCGTATTGTGTACTGACTCTGTCTGGGGTAGTGCAACCTCATCCAGAACTAAATATGGAACATCACTGGACCATGGAAGCCTAAAACCCATAACCTCCAGACACTGGGACCTCACCCCATGCCATTGAATGATCTCATCCAGCAGCCTTATGTTAAATAGGACTTGGGAGAGCATTGAGCCCTGGAGCATTCCACAAGCAGGAGCTGCAAGCTAGATCTCTCTCCCCGTCAACACCAATTAGAACCTACCTGGAGGAAGAAGAACTAGCACAAAACTGTGCTCCCCGTACCTAACCACTGAAGCTGGTCCAGGAGGATAACATGATCTGTGGTATCGAAAGCCCCTGAGAAGTCAAGAAGAGCAAGGTCAGATGCACCTTCCATTATGCTCCTGCCAGAGGTTATCTACAAGTGTGATCAGGGCCATTTCGGTCCTATGCCTGGGCCTGAAACTTGAGTGAAGGGTCCAGAGGTCCAGATAATCTTTTCCTCCAGGGCTTTGTGTAGCGACCACCTTCTCAACAACCTTCCCTCAAATGGGAAGGTTAGAGACAGGACAAAAATTGTCTAGAATGATGGGGTCTAGTGATGGCTTTTTCAGGAGTGGGCAGACCATCACCTCTATAAGTGTTGGCAGGACCATCCCCTCTCTCAAAGATGTGTTTACCAGCACTTACTTCCTGTAATCTAGACTCTCTGGTCCTGTTAGTGCATCACAATTAGCATTTACCTTTTCAGTAGCTGTTTCATGCTGCTGGCTCATATTTAACTTGTGAAAAGGAGCTAGGTGTCCTTGTCAACTACAAATATTTTTGCCAAGCCAAATCTCTCCTATCCTGTAGTTGTATCTTACATTTTTTTCCCGCCCAGATGCAAAATTTTCTATTTCTTCATATTAAATTCCATCCTATTCATATCAACTCACCGCTCAAGCCTTAGATCTTTCTGAATCTTCTGTCTTTCATCTAAAGTATTAGCCACCTTTCTCAATTTAGTGTCATCTGCATACCCAGTAAATGTTCCCTCAGCTCCCTCATCCAAGTCGTTAATTAAAATGTTGAACATCATAGGGCCCAAGACAGAGCTCCATGGCACTCCACTCAGTATTTCCCTCCAACCTGAAGTAGAGCCATTAATGAGCACAATTTATGTACCTTTGTACAGCCAACTGTGAGTCCATCTAACAGCATCTAGCCTATATTTTAACATTTATGAAGTAAGCTATCATGAGGTGCACTGGCTTTGCTGAGAGGCCAAGTGAACTATTTTTACAGCATTCCGTGATACTAAGCCACTAACTATATCAAGGAGATAAGTTTAATATGGCACAATTTCTTTATAGCAACATCATGCTGGCTCCCATTAATTGTAGTGTGCCTATCCAAGGTGCTCACAGCGGTATGTTTCTATCTCTTGCTTGCAAGCACCCCAGAGGCATCTAGTTGGCCACCCTGACAAATTAAATATTGGGCTAAGTTGGACCTTGGCCTGATCCATCAGAGTTATTCTTATGTCCTTAAAATTGCTATTTATAGTAGCAATTTTTGAAGGGGGTCTTGGGGCAACTTACGTAGTTTTCTACATAGATTGTGTCCTCCAGCTTAGATAGCAGATTTGGGACTTGCTTGAAAGGAGAAGAGCAAGGGGGAATCTGCTTGTACATTATTGAATATAGCTGAAAGAGATTGCACCTAAAGATGTGAGGAGCATGCATAGCAACTAAAATATTTTGAAATAAATATTACACAGAATAATATTTTAACAGAGTTTACATGGTCTTCTAGTACTATTTATACGTTTTACATGGTAGCTTTGTAACTGCTCCCAACTGTTCATTAATATTTAGAGCTCAGAACTTGGGCAGAGGACTAGGCCAAGAAATTCTCCCCCCCTCCCCATAGTGTGTGTATGTGTATCTGTCTGTCTGTCCATCTGTCTTCCAGTTGTGAGGAGAAAAAATCCTTATAGGTGTGAGAAATCTGGACTATTTATTGCTTGTTGTATTTGAATCTGGTGAACACTATTTCTAGCTGGAATAATTTCTGGAAGTATGATTACTGAGCATAGTACTTGGACATGTGGAGAAAAGGGTGGGAGGGACAAAGATGAAAATAACCTGGTTGCTGTTAACTTTGGAGTGTGACTGACTGAATTGCATTACTTGTTCTTCCCTGAGGCGACACAGGTGCGCAGAGTTATTTTTCTTTAATCACTCACATAAATTAACATTTATTCCTTTGCATTAAAATAATTAAAAAAACTACACCCTGTATCTTTTATTACCAGATAATATCTTTGAACCTCTGGCTGACAACCTTGCTATTGGCTGCAAGGTATTTTCCAGGGTGTGCTTTGCCCACTGTTGTATTAAATAATGTTCTAGGTTGAAAACAAACAAACAAAATAAAATCTGATAGCAATCAGAATCCATGTGAAGTTTTAATAATAATAATGCCCAGTAGCAAATAATGTTTTCTAGACACTTCTCTTGGGTTTGTCCTCCCTTCCCATCTATCACCTACATCAGGGTGAAAAAATAGATACCATATGTGGGTGAGATGTTAATACAAATAGCTAAATTGGGTTGCAGAACAGTGGGTCACCTGAGTCAGGAGGATTGAAATAGAGAGATGGAGAGGAAATTGTTTATAATAAGCTGGAAAGGAAGAAATATAGTAATAGCTGACCCCCAAATATATTCATTGTGCTATTTTCTTTGGAAAGTTTATCCTTGACTGCATTTATTACATTTAAAGTTTGGAGGCATATTCCTTTGCTTCTGGAATGCATTTTCTAATAACTTTAAATAATGCTGTTGCTTTTTCATGAAGCTGTTTATGGAATATACCCATATATATTGCTACTCTATTTTATTACAAGGAAATGCCAGTCCAAATAGTTTGTAGAATTGTAGGTCTTTCTGGTGAAGCTGTATTATTCTGTCTCATTTATGGAATTTTGGAGCGGGATATCCAGATGTTATCACAATTTTTCATTAGTAACCTATCTTTCTTTTATTTCATCTATCCATACAAACAAAACCCCCAAAACACCAAGAAAATAAGAGCAGTTGCGTGGTGTTTTTTGATGAATAGCGCTAGGAACTGTCCATCTGTGAGTGCTGTCATATGCTTCTGACTTTTCTGGGGCGACTGAAGATATATGGCTGAGTCAGCTAGATTACATTGGGATTAAATACAGTTACTTGTAAACTTTGAATGTCAGTCCCCAAAGGTATGACTGGTTAGTTGGTCAGTGGAAAGTGAAATTCTGTATGGGTATCTGGTACAGCTCAGTATCCAATATAAGTCTAGGTAGCTTACCTATATATCATTTAAAGACATGTAATGACAACTGAGGTAAAAAAAAATACTGCAAATCAAACAATCACCTCATGAGCTCGAGCTAACAATTTGACCACATACCTATTGTTTGACCATGTACTTCATACTGTTCAAAATATGAGAATAGAAACTTGTCTCCTTGTAGAGTATTTTGGAGGGGAATTTTACCGTGAATGTCTAATGTAATGTTAGCAGAAAGCTGGGTGGGAAAAGTCTTCAATCAGCAGTTGGCATCAAAGTGGCTATGGGGCAGATTTCTCATGCCAATATCACTCTGCTTGTGTGGTCATTTCTTTTTGTTAAAGCAGCAAGACTGCTAAAGCGTTTCATCAAGTTATTCTTACCCAGAAACTTAGAGTAAATGAATGGTGTCCTTTGTCCGGTTCTAATAACCCTTGTCCCAGCACACTTGAAAATGTACCGCTTTGTTTATGAACTATTTGGTTCTAATGTGTCAACTTATATGCATGCCACTTTGATGTATGTCAGAGTCGTCTGGAAAAAATATGTTTTGGAGATATTTTAGGAGAATGTGTCTACTGTCCTGAAAGATTTGTTTGCAGGCCAGTATTAAAACTCCGTGTCTAGTTCTTTCAAAAAAGCTGGCCAGTAATCTTAATAAAGGAATTCATTTAGATATTTAGAACAGAGGTGCACAACATATGTTGGCTCAAGAGTTGTGTGACATATTGAGGGCAACACTACTAAAATGGTAGGTTCAGAATATAAGTGAGTCCAATTTTGATGGTGAAATGATAAGCTTAAAGCTTTATAAGAATTGACGTCACTCACTGGGAGGTTCTAGGAGGCTAATTTTTTGTGTAGCAGGGTGGGCTTAGCACAATACATAATTATATCTGCAGTTTTATTCTTATTCTAGGCTGCTTTCATTTGTTTATCCCACAGTGGCTGACAGATACAGAACACAGCAAATTATTCAGTTATGACATAATTTGTACTATCATTATATGAAAAATAAACATGTACCTCTGGCCTAAACATTGTTTTAATGGTTCAGAGAAAATGTGATCAAATCTCAAGATTTCAGATAAAGCACGTAGGATTTATACTTTTCAGGACACATTTCATTAAGATGATAGCATAAGACTGTATATCTGTGGTTGTATTCATACATAGTTTGCTTAATTATGGTTTATTTAACCATGGTTTATTTAATAAATCACAATCAAGTAATTTGTTATAATACAATAACCCATCAGTCCCTGAGTTCACATAGCTTGTTAAGACAAAACCAAAGAAACCACCTTAAGACATGCTGAAATGTGTGAACAAGGTCAGTATTTATGCTTTTCAGTTCCAGAATGTAAGAAGTATAACAAAAAGTGTAAGTCCTTAAAGTTTTAATTGTGCTAACTGAACTAACAGAAAAAGTCATGTGATAAGACATTTACATGAACAGAATAACAAATTCTAGTCTTATTTTCAGCCCAAAGGCATGTCATTACTTATATGGAAGATGCAGTGAGCCAGCTGCTAGAAAGCAGAGAAGATATTGGTCAATATGGTATTGCCAGATTCTTCACTGAATAGTAAGTATATTACAACTTACCAGTATCCTTGTTTCTGGAAAGAGGGGAGATCTGTCTGTCTGTCTATCTGTCTATTGAACTATCTATCTGGTTCTCCCTCTGATTTTTATACTAATGCATTCATATAATACTTGCTACAACATAAAATTTCCATAGTAAAATACATAGTATAAAATAATGCAAAGATGAAAACAATTCAACCAACTTAAACTAAAATAGAGCAATGTATGTAAAACCTGCAGTATGCAAAATTCCAATGGTGTTATCCAACCAGTTAAAAAAGTTGATCGGAAGAACACAGTTTTTTTCTGATTCTAGAATGCTTACAAAGTTGAGGTAAGTCTAATTTCTTGGGGGAGGCTGCTCCATAATATGGAAACACCACCTCCTGACCTTAGCTCTCCTGGGGGATTACAAGCAATTTCTCCCAAGGTATTTGTACTGGACAGGTTTATTCTAGCTTAAGAAGATGGTCCTAAATGAGCCCTGATTTTATTTACTACTATATTCAGTCTAAGAAAAGCTTAGCCTAAGGAATCTATTCAACCAATTTTTATTTCCTTGTTCTGAGACTTGCCCAGTCATGTCACTTGTTAATACCTGGCAGAAATGGGTATACATTTCAGAGGAGCTAAGCACAAAATAGCTAGTTGGTGTAACCAGACACTGACTGGATTTAATTCAGTAGTAGATATATCAAATGTCATTTTATAGTGATAAGGTAGCCAGACCAAAGTTCTGGATGTAAGAAAGACATCATATTACTGAATTTGATGACTGATCTCATTTTATCCGTGGTCTGATATTTCTCTGATCTCTGCCAATTTCCCATGTGACAGACTTGCCTGTTATTTTTCCTGGTTTTGAGAACCTCTGTATGTACATTGATTTTTCAGACATCTCCTTCTTCTAGAATAGCTAATTGACTGATTATGTGCCATCAAGATGGTATCAACTCTTAGTGAACACAGATTTTCTCCATGAAGAATAGCTAATAGAAATATAAAATCTATTTTAATATAGGTAATATGCTGTCAGCTCTACAAGGTAGACCAGATCAAGAGACAGATGCTATCTATGTAGGTCTATAACTACTTTTATTAGAATGGCTACAGCAACAGAATCTTGCAAGTCTGAATGTGCTTCCCCTTCTCCCTCTTTTATCTTCATGTGAATTAGGGGGTGCCTGTTTTAGGCGTTTTCATGAATATCTTCATATGGGCTTAGGCCATGTTTATCTGTTTGTTGCCTTGGTAATGAATCTTCCCTCTTTCTCTTTTTTTAAATGAAATTTTACTGAAGAAATTTTTATAGAATAAAATCATTTAAAGAAAAAGAAAATAAAGGAAAGTAAAAGAAAAGTGGTGAGAAAAGAATAAAGAAATGAAAGAGAAAAAAGAGAAACAGAAAAGAAAAAGAAAAAAATGTAAAGAACTGGCTTTCAATCTTCTTCATAGTAGTTAAAAATGCATTCAAGTTTTATCCTCTCTCTAAGGTTATATTATAACTCCCTTTATTCCATAATCTACCCTTTCTAATTATCAAACCCATAAATCACAAGTACATTTTTTTCTGTTTTCAGCAAAAAATCCATAAAGGGTTTCCAGTCGCTGACAAAGATAGTTATTGTCTTTTCTCTAATTAAACAGGTCAATTTTGCCATCTCTGCAAATTCTGTTTTCTTCACCAAACATTCCTCCATTATAGGTATTAAAGAGTATTTCTATCTTTGTGCATGTAATAATCTCGCTGCAGTTACCATGCACAAAAACAATCATCCGTAAGTCTTTTCTAGTTGTTTGTCCATTAGTCCCAGCAAGAAAAGCATATCTTCCCTCTCTCCATCAAGACCATCATCTGTACCAGGCCTGCACAACATACAGAATGTGGGCCATATATGGTGGCATGCCAAGCAGTCTTATGTGACATGCCAACATTTTCAAAAAAGTAAGCCACTACCGCCACTGGGCCAAAAGATATGCTGCCAAGTACAGTGGTACCTCTAGTTACGAACTTAATCCGTTCCGTGACTCTGGTTGCAACTTGA